TGAGTGCATTCTGCCAGGTGACAGGGGCATAATGCCAGCATAATGCCTGAATCCTTACACTCACTAAGCCAATGGCTAAGTGGGTGGATCCTGAGCCTCTGGTTACCCAGATGGCTCTGTCTTTGTGTTTGGGTTGATTGTTAATAGAGAGAAAAGTGTTGACCACTTACAACTGGAACTAAATACTACTTATATTTAATGCTCAATGTGAGGCAGCCCAAAGCTCCCTGGCCCACATTCTGCTGATCTCAAGTGGCATCTGGAGACAAAATGTGTCACTCTATACCTCCATTTCCCCATTATAATCAGCTGAACTTCCCTCTAAGGTGCCTGGAACTCAGAGCAATCCTGGGGAGATAGCAATTCTGGAAGGCTGGAGAGGAAGGAAAGAGGGTTGAAGGGATCCCCGAGTGGTGAGTGAGGCTTCCATTAATGGGAAAAAGGGCCTCCGAAGAACCCAGGAGTGGAGAACCCAGGGCTAGCCCAAGTCTCCCGTGGAGGCACCCTCCCTGGGGCCCAGGGCCAACAGATTATGAGCAGCTGAGCTCACAGCTGCAGGGAGGGGGTTCCTCGACAGAGGCCTCCTGGCACCTGCCTCAGTTTATTTATGGAGCCACAGCTGAGTCCTAGGGGTTGGGAGGGAGGAGCTGGGGAGGGGAGTTCATCCTGACTGAAGGAAGAGACTCTAAGTGGGAAGAAGCTGATAGATACCATAACCTGGGGTTCAGACACCTGGGACCCACCTTTTTGTGGCAGGGCATACAGAAGGGCCACTGGGTTACAAGAGGGACCTGGGCACCTGGTCTGGCGAGGGCTGAGACCAGAGAGAGGCAGGTCAGCCACCCCTGAGATGCTGGCAGTGGCTGCAATGTTGACTTAGAAGGTGGGATGAGAGGGTTCAGGGTGAAGGAGGCAGGGACCCTAGAAGAGGAAACACGTTTTCCTTTGCCTGCCGAGGCAGACTGTTGGGGTCCTCACTGTGCTGCTCTTCTGCCCTGAGCCCAGCTGTGTCCGTGGTTCTACAGCAGCTTCATACCCTAGTGTGGTCCTAAGGTAGCCCGTGGGCTCAGGGACAGTGCTGGCAACGTTTTTTCACCACCTGTACTAGGGAGAAATGGCTCCTCCTCCTTCTCCTCCCAGGAGGACTCAAGTCTAACTTGTGGTGCCCATCCCAGAATTTAGCCCTCCCCTGAGAGGTGGGATGGGGTACAATAGGAACTCACTAGTGAGCCTGTCCCTAAGCCAGAGTCTAATTGGGTTTTCTGGGCTCGGTGGGCTCCCCTTCCAGGGGAAGTACAGACAGCACATTCCAGACAAAATGAAATCACATTCCTTCATCCCCCACCAGAGAGGGTGGCACTGACTGACAGCAGCTGCAGCAGCACGGGTCAAGTGGCAGCAGCTGGCGTCCCAGGGCGAGGCTGGGGTGTGGGCTGTGGGCAGCATAGGAATGGAGAGGGGATTTCTTTCAGACAATGAATGAATGCCGATTGTTTGACCCAGGGGCCAGCGGTGATGTCATTCAGGTCAGAACTATTTGGAGCCTCAGGGAAGGATTCAGTTCATCCAGTACCTTACAGGTGGTAAAACCCAAGCTCTGAGGGTCCAGGGGCGCAAGATCACCTTCTAAGAGCCCCGCCCAGAATGGGTGCTCAGAGCAGGAAGGCGGAGGGGGCGCTTTAAGAGGCCACAATCAGAGTGCCTTTGGCTGTAACACAAAGCCTAGACTTTGATTCCCTTGGAGACTCTGGCAGCTACAGGGACAGCATCATGCTGGGCCGGAGGGAGACTCTGCCCCTGACCTCACCCTTGGAGGCGCCTCAGCCTGCACAGCCTTATAAGGAAGTGCCCCAAACAAACTGAGGAAGCCACCTCCGCCCGACACCCCCCCCCCCAACCCTGCG